TGGCCAGGAAAGTCTTCAATAACTAGAGAAATTCTTTTCACTGCTGAAATCAACATGAAGGACATTGTGTTATTATAATTGCTTATAGCTCACCATGAAAGTTGTCTTTGTATGAGTGGATGTACGGGCTGTACTGTTTTGTTTTTATTTATTCTGCATTCTTTATTTTAATGTCCTTTCCTTTTTCCTGACCAGAAAGATTGTTATTGAGCCCTTCACAAAGCTGAAATAATGGAGTGTGTTAAAAAAAATGTGAACAATTCAAAGAAGTTATAAAAATTTATAAGTTGGCTGAATGCTTGGGAAATTTCTGCATATTTTAATATAAATAGGTAATGCAAATATTTGTTCTTTGCATTGAGAGGTGAGTCTGTTTTCGAAAAGGCCTTGCTATTTAAATTAGATTTATTTGATTGCATTGAAATAAGGACAGTTTCCATTTTGAATGATGCCAAAGATTAAATACCACGGTTATTATCGAATACAAAAAAATTAATAAACTAGGTATGTTACTGCATCATGGGGTTAAACAATTTCCAGAAAACAGTAGAAATTGCTTCATGTTTAGTATTCTCATGGAGGTAGCTTGCTTAAAAGACATATACTTTTTGAGATTCCAAGTTCAGACTGAAGTTTTGCTTGCGAGAAGAACTATCTGGATCACCTGTTTTACTGTTTCTTTAAAAAGTAATTGACAGACTTAATTCAGGATAGAAGTGGGATGGATATCTTGGAGAAATATATATATATATATAAATAAACAAAAATAAATTGAGTAAAAATCAGGAAAAAAATCAAATTATGAGAGAAGCTCTTTTGATTGAGCTGTAAAATCAAGATATTACACATTTTGAATGACCTTGGGCCATGGGTCTTTGAAGAATGATTAAGATCCAAGGCCTCAGCGGTTTCTGAAGGTGTGTGCCATAGCTTACCCCGTGAGAAGTCAGAGGATGGGGGTGGAAGTACACAGGGCAAAACCCACCAAGGGGAGTTGTTTCCAGAGATGAAGCTGAGATGCACGGGAGATAAAATCCCAGGCCTGGGATACCCAGCATCCTGAACACCTTGGCGGTGGGAGGCCATGTTGGCTGTTGAGGTCAACTTGGTGATCTCAGGAAATCTCAGCATAGACCTGAGTTCCCTTTGAAAGTGCCAATCAATTCTCATACCTCACCTTTCTCAGGTCCACATTCACCAGCGAATGCTTTAGTAATCAGGGTGAGAGGGACAGACAGACAACCTGAAGGGATGAAGGCAGCTTCCAAGGGTGAAGCACATGCACCCTCACAAACTGTACAAACTACCTCAGAATTTTACTGGGACAGGTGTTGACCACCAAACCCATGCTGCTTCCTGCTCATGGTCAGAAGGATGTGAGCATCATCTTGGGCCATTCTGAACGTTATTGTTGGCCTGTGCCTCTCTTAGGTTTATGGAAACTAAGGGCACCACTGGAGGAGTCTGCCTTTCCTTAAGAAAACTGATTTGCACAGAAATTAAATTGATAATGTTTTCCAGGGAGAAAAGACACGGAAACATGAATTGTCACCTTCCTAAGCGTAGAGGTCCCACTTTATTTGAGAAATAACAACAGTTGACATTTGTTGAGCGCTTACAGTGTGCCAAGTGCTGTATTATCAGGTTTAAAAAGAGATGCTGGAGGGTAGCATGACCAGCAAAGGGAAAGTGCAAAAGTAGTTTGATGGAAGATGGTGCAAAGGCCAGAGGCGAACTAGAAAAGAAACTGGAGAACTAGACTTAAATTCTGGTTTCTCCAGACCCTGGGGATCCTTTGTAAATGCATTCCCCTCATTAAAGCCTGGCTTTGTTATAAAATAAGAATAAATACCAGCCCGGAAGAGACAATTTATATTTCTCTAGAGGAAATGGCCCTGGAGCAGTGGGTTTTGTTTTTGTGCTTGCCTTTTTAGAGTCGTGGAATTCTTTTAGAAGCTGAGAAGTGCTAAGAGCTCTCTCTAGAAATTACAAACACACACACACACACACACACACACACACACATGCACGCGCACACAAAATGTTGAACATTGTTTCTGGGGTTGCCAGCTCCCTTGGAGCCAGTCTTCTTGGGTGCATGGAATAGCATCTGCAAAGTCTGGCGACAATCTCAAAGTTAAATGTATTGAGTCTGCTTGAAGGTGCAGGTAGAGGCTGGCTGGCAGGAAGTTCCCAGGAAGCCTAGCAAGGCCTTCCCAGCTGTAGGAAGGGGAGGAAGCAATTGACAGTGTCTCATCTATGGTGGGAGCAGGTACTGGGAATACCAGTAGGTGTCAGAAAGTAGGCATGGGGGTGAGACTTCAAGATGGAATTCCTATCCTGGAGACTCTTGGACTACTGGGAAGGAGATGAGAAAAGGTCTGAGCAGTCAAAGAAGAGGAACGTAACAGAAACTGGGCTAGAAGGTGTAGTCTGGGTCACAAAGGAAGCCCAGTAACCAAAACTAGGGTCAGAACTGACTTGGATGGGCTCAGGATGACTCAGTAAGATTTCCCCATCTATGGTCTATGAAAGAGTTGGCTGCAGACCCCATCTGAAGAGGGGGGCTAAGGCGATGTGGGTCTCTGGGAATGTGGTGGGAAGGAGGGAGCTGGAAAAAGAGCCTGCCTACTTATCATACTATGGCGCTATTCCTCCTGAAAGCTTTAGTAGCTTGGCTATGGGTGTGCCTGTGTTACCACCGTCAAATCTTCTTAGCACATTTCACTTTGAGACCAGAGAATGTACTTTACTTTTTGCACATTTCTCATCTTGCAAATGGGCCTGCTTATTTACAGTTACCTTTTTCCTGCCATTCCTATGCCATCAGCCAGTCTAGGTGGGAGATCCTCTGTTCATCTTGCCTTGGCCTTCCTCAGTAAAATAAAAAGTTGGCAGCATTTGTTAATCCATTAAATATTTTTGGAATTCTGCTGATCTATTAAGTCTAAATGCTGGGAACTGTTGGATTATAGTGTTCTCAATTGAGTAGAAATATTTATTGAATGAATGAGTAAATGAGACATGACTTGTATCACAGAAAGCTAAGGCCTGAAATGTCTACTATTTGCTTTGTTCTCTTTGATAGCTCTTGGAAAGATTAATGCTGAGACATGCTAAGGTCCACAGATGGATGGTTAATTAGTAGATTGGACCCCTCTTGACTACTCCATTGCTAAGTGGACGGCAGTCTGTCTACTTGAGTTCTGGTACTTTCTTTCATAGCATTTAGCATATTAAAATAATGCTGTTATCTTTGATGAAGTAGTGATTGTTGTCAGCTATTAGTGAGTTGCTGTTGTTTTGAAAGAGAACACATCTAAAGGAAGAGACCAGTTAGCTGGGGGGTGGGTGGGTAAATAGTGACAGTAGAAATTCCCAGTCTCCCCCCCCCCCCACTCTGTAGGGTGCTGTTGCACAGAGCAAATCTGTGACCTAAATTATGAACATTTACCAGCAATTAATTAACTACTTCAGGAGTTTAAGTACTAGCTGAAATTGAAGATGTGAAATTTGAAAAATCATGTATACAATGAAGATTGAAGGAAACAAGTAACAGAATATAAAGGTGGGTCATAATTCTGGCATGAAAGTCAACCCAAATATTGCCAGACAGCATTTGTGCTTGAGTTGATGAGGGCTCTTCTTCCTAAGATTACAATTATACAGAGCAGGGGATGGGGGGAGATCTTCTTCCCTTCGATGGCTCTATTTAGCAAGAGATTAGTTGCTCAGATTTGCTCTTTGGTCCAATAGAAGAAAACACAATAACTTACAATGAAGTCTAAATCAATGTAATTTGACTTATAATTATGTGTGTACTAGAGCATCCGTGGGGAGTTAAATGAGTGTGGTCTGGAGAAGGAACAGGAATCCAAGGACTGAAGAGATTCTTGTCAAATAGGAAAGAATCAATAAGTATGCCAATTTCCTCATTAAAAAATGGATCTCTGCATTTATGAGATACACAGTTATTTAACAGCAAAAAAATAGCACTCCTCATAGAGATTCATAATGCTTTTGAATGGCTGAGTTAAGTTCATGTGCACGCATGTATGTGTGTAGTAGACCATTTGGCTATGGGCAATCATACCTGACCCATCTCTGCTTCTTGTTAGCACCTCGACTCCTTGCCACTTCTCCATGCCAGCACTTTCTGCCCAGGTGAAAACCCAGTTATTTCAAAATGAGTGAAACACTTTACTCTTGCCTTCTTTAGCAACAGTTAAGGGTGGGACTCGGGGGGGGGGGGGAAGGATGGAGGTGGAGGAGTGACGTGGGCCTTGGAAAATGGCAAAGTTTATGCGAGGTGGAATGCAGTATAAATAAAGATCTCTAGAAGTTCTGAAGGAGAGGTTACCTTTAGGGGCAACCGGGAAAGTCTTTGTAGAAGGGGGGCATTGGAACTGGGCCTTAAAGGATTGGTAGGGCTTTGAAAGGTAGGTGTGGGTGGAAGAACACTCCAGGGAGAAGAAAACAGCCCAAAGATGTCATGGCAGAAAACACAAGCCTATTCTGGGAATGGCAGGTGATTCAGTGTAGCTGGAGATCAAATGGGTAGGTGGATAGAGCCTGGGTTATAAGGGAGCCTACCTGCCTAAGCTAAGATTTTATTTGGTGTACAAGTAAGCTCCTCAACAACTCACCAAATACTAATTCCAGTCTCCTGAAACTTTACTTTTTAACCCTTTGCACTCAAATGTCGAGTGTGGATAATGTCGAGTGGATAATGAGAAAAAAGCAAGCGAGTGCAAAGGGTTAAGGTTTGCTTTTCACCATAAAGGTTTTCTAAAAGTAGGGCATAATTGTACTACATTGCTAACCCACCCCTTGGTGTCTCAAAGGCAGGGGCCTGGCCAGCTTACCCAAAGCCACGGCTATTCACGAGGTTCAGGAGACCACAGAGCACTTTGGGATTTTCAGGTGTTGGGTGTGGTGGTTTCTTTTGTAATTTTAAAAAAAAACTTATCTATCTTTATTATTGTGGTTACTTACAGGGTAAGTGTGGCAGATTGTATTTTCCATCAATGACCAAATCAAGATCCATCCCACACCCTGACACTTTTCCTGTCTAGAGGTGGGATCTACATTCTCCTCCTTGTGACTGCGGTGTAAGTGACACCAGGTGACTTCCAAGGCTAGGTCATAAAAAGTTGTGAGGCTTCCTCCTGGTTTTCTTGAGACATTCACCTTTGGAGCTTTTAATCATGATATGGGAAGTCAGGGGTCTCCACGCTGTAAGGCAGTCTAGCCCGCACCTACCAGAAATATGAGTGAAAACGTCTTCAGATTATTCCTGGCCCTAGAGATCAAACCACCCCAAGCCTTCAAGTTCTTCCTGCTGAGTCTCAGATGTCACTGAGCAGAGCAAGTCAACCCCGCTGTGTCCTTTCCATATTCCTGGCACACGGAATCAGTGAGCATAATAAAACTGCTGTTTATGCGACTAGGTTTGGGGCAATTTGTTATGCAGCAGTAGTAACTATAACAGTGAGCAATGATGCCTTTACTGGTTCATTTCTTTCTGTTCAGCAGGCCAAGTGTAGCGGAGAGGAAAGGGAGGGAATGATCAATTGTTGAGAAGGATCTGTTGGGTGATTTACATATATTACCTCATTTAATCTTCCTAATAACATGATGAAATAAACATTATCAGCCTTACTGTACAGAGAACTAAGGCTCAGAGAGGAAAAGTCACACAGCTAGAGCACAAACCCAATTTTCCCAGGGGCTCCATAGTTCAAAGGGTTTTTCCTACTGCATGGGGCCTCCCTAGTTAGTGTGAAAGCCCTCGCAGTATTATTAATATATGAACTGTGAATTGTGCCACCTAGTCTTACTTCTTCATCTTATGGCACACCTGCTGAGCACCTGGGTCAGGAGGCGGGAGGGAGATGAAGAGAGAGGCGTGGCTCCTGCCTTTTCAGCAGTGATAAGTATTTTGGTGGCTGGGCAGGTGTGAATCCCATGGAAAGACAGAAGCAACATGAGGCAGTGTGTCATCCAGGACTGTGGACCTTCACAGAGGGGAGGGGAAGGGTCACTTTGGAGTCTTGGGCAAGTAGGGGGCCTCCTAGTGCTCTTCTTTCTATAGAGATATGGTCATCCCATCTTTCACTAGTGAAAGATGGGATGACCATATCTCCCAGTTCTCCCCTGAGAGTCTTGGTTTATTGTTTTATACCTGTTGTCCCGGTGAAATTATTAATAGCATCTCCTTTTATTCTCACAGTGGCCTGTTTTGGATGATAAATTACATGGTCGCCCTAGGGTGGTGCTTCCAAATTGAACTTTTTCAAGGGAATAGGGTGCAGTGCTCTTGCGTAATCATGTGAAGTGGCGTGGAGGCAGTGACTAATGGCCCCAAACAAGTGAGTCTGTTAATCCAATGAAAAACTTGTCCATTCCCTGTACAACAAAAAAAGTCAAACAGCAATTTGTTCAACATAAAAGCATTGCTAGTGGGCATCATTTGTGTGCCACAATTAAACAGCTTTAAAGCCTGCATTGACAAATACAAACAGTAAACCACAATTGATCATCTCAATTGGCCTAATTGATTTGTGTCTGGCCAAAATGGCAAGGACGGTCCATGTTTCTCTTGAGGAAAATGATGGTGAATGAGTCTAATACAAGGACCAGGATGCATCTCTCAAAAGTGTGGTCCACAAACAATGGGTGTTAGACTTGCATGAGGGCCAGGGGATACCTAATACAGGTTCCAGGGCTCCTTCCCAGACTCCTTCCCACCACTCTCAGAAAATGGGCCCAGGACTTGGCATTTTTAGCAAGTTCTCAGGTAATTCTGCTGCACTCTAAAGCTTGAGTACATCTAGAATTAGACGTTTAGAACCAAGAAAACACTAAAGCCCTGGAGAAAGTTTATTGATTTGGTGTTTGTTGTTGGTTGGTTTGTTGATTTAAAATCGTGAATGCATCTAGAACTTGGACCAGAGGACTGATACTACAGGCAGTGTGAACCTCAGTCAGCACTGCAGAAAGAAAAGGAAGTTAGTCTTAATTCCAAGCTGCTTCCTCATGTAAATTACAAGCCCACCACCAAGATGAGACAAGAGTGGCATCATTTTATTATAAGAAAAAGGGATATGTTTGAACATCCATCGTTTTTCTCATTATTACCTCTCCTGTTGGAGTGAATCTCATAGTGAAATTGTGTAGGAACCACAGAAAACGAAGAACTGTGTTGACCAGAGTCGGGGCCATTCTGGCCAATTCTAACAGCACTGGGCAAGGGGGAGAGCGTGCAATGGTAAATGTATCTGCGAATATAAGATGGTGAGGGTTTAGTATCTCACTTTCCCTGGATATTTGTGCCTGGGCAAACAGAACTTTGCAATGGAGTGAAGGAGCCTGGATGTTAGAACTGAAATAAAATTTTGAGATCATCAAGCCCAACCTTCCTATTGCATAGAAACTGAGGCCCAAGAAAGGAAATGGCTGGAACAAATGCCAACTCTGCCGCTTCCTATCTGTGTAATCTTAGAAAAGTCATTTACTTGTCACTTCTCATCTCTGAAATGCAGAACAATAACAAGGCTCATTTTTTGTCGTTTTAGGAAAGAGTAAATGAAAGAGAGTGTGAACGGGAAGTTCCAAGCACAGCACTGGGATCCATGTTATTCACCTTGCTGAAGTGCTATTTACTGTCATCATCAGCTAAAGTCACAGAGCTTGATGACAGAGCCAGGTCTGGGCCTGGGCCTCTCTGACTCTCCTGCATTTTCCAGAATGTGGAAGTCGGCAGTATTCGTGGAGTTCCAGAGCTCAGTCACTTGAGATACCTGTGTATCCCCACATTTGCAAATGCTATTTTAAGACCTTCTTTCAGAAGTGCCCCAGGATAATGAGCTCTGGCTGGCTGCCTCCAGCCGCACAGTCTGTTCTCAGGGGCGGGCGGCCTCTGTGCTCTGGCTGGCATCTGTCTGTGCCCTGGAGTGCCCTGTGCTTGGGCCCCCTCCCTGCCGCTAAGCCACATGGTGGTGTGAACAGGAGGCTGAGGTCTGAGATGCCCCCGCTACTTTGAGGGGAGATGACCCGAGGCTTCCGATGGGAGAGGGGCAAGCGAATGGGTTTCAAAGGCAGTGACTGGCTGTGGGGCTTGAGCAAGCAACTGGCCCCTAAAACCCTTCAGTGGCCTCATTTGTCAAATCAGTGACACGGATGCCCACCTCACAGGATTGTTGTGAGGGTCAGTGAGGAAATTCACACAAAGCAGAGAGCCTGGCCCAGGGTCTACATATGGTAACTTACTGCTCACTTTCAATGGAGCTTCATGAGTTTAGAGTGGAATTAGACAATAGAGAAATTCTCGAGGGAGGGGGCAAACATCAGAGTGGAGACTTGTGACTTGTAAGGAGGAATGCAATTATGTTTTGAATAATCGTAGAAAGGGAAGGCTGAAATTGAGAATTGGTTGAAAATACTGTATGGCCAGAGACAGTCAGAGAAACCGGTGGTAGCTCCACAGAAGAAAAGATGGAAGTGCCTTCTATCCTTTCTTTTCCTGCTTCATGAGCTCTCCCCCTCCTCCACAGCCTCCTTTTGCCCTCAGACTTTGTTATGCTGTTTAAGTAATTGCTGTAAAAATAAATATACCAGAAGTTTCCTTCCGTGTTTATAAGCCTACAATGCAGGAACTTTGAAAGAAGTTTTATTTAACAATAAATTACATCAATGGAATTCATTCACATTTATGCTATTAAATTAAATAACAGAAACCTGTTGGCTGCAGTATAGTAGGCAAGTGGAATATATTTTGTTTTCAAAATGCAGAAAAGTCTTCTAAGTCTCTTCAGAAGAATGGCTGTTGTTGGATAACTGATGTAAGACTCTGGCCTCCTCTGCCATGGTGCTTATTTACTACGTTAGTCAGGAGAAGCCGGGTAGTGCTGAGGTAACAAACAACTCCAAAAGCTCTCAGTGGCCGAAATGACACTACCTTAAGTGACATGTCCATATCAGTTTGTCCGGGGAATGTGCTCCAAATTCACCTCCCTCAGGATGCAGGCTGAGGGGGCGGACTTCTGTGGGACATGTTGCCAATTGTCATGGCCTAGGGAAACAGGGTAGTGGATTGAGCCCAGGCTCGCAAAGCTTCCGCCTGGAAACTGGCACACATCACTTCAGCTCGAATGTCACTGGCCAAAGCATGGACACACTCAGCTGTAAGGAAGCGAAGGAGTACAGTCCTGCCACATGTTTGGCAGGAGAATAGCAATGTTTGCTGAGTAGCACTAGTACTACCGCATTTATGTGCGTGTGTTACCAGTCACAAACGACTGGAAGGTAATGACCGTGACTTGTTTCTCTTTGCCTTTCTCCCAGTACCCCGCTGCAGAAGGGACATGAAAAAATGTCAGTTGACTGACTGACTATAGAGGTTAGCACGTGACTGGAACAAAATGGGAATAAGGGCCTGAAAACTTAGACTTCTCCCTCTTCTTTTGACACTTCTCATGCTGGGTTTCTGACTCTAGAATTGACTACCTGGATTGATCCTGTAGCATCATTTAGCAAAGGTCCTTTGCAGAGACTGAGTAAGATGGCACCTGTGACAGCCAGTGGTCAGTTAAGGTGTGTGGCTCTGACTATTGCCCAGGTCCCTCTCCGGGAGGGTGGGGGGAGCTTGGATGCCTATTGCCATCTGCCAAACTGCCCCATGAGGCCTGCTGTCCTCAGGCGGGGCCCTATGGTGCTCCCAAGCCCCTCTGACCTTTCCCTACTTCTCTTCTTCTATTTCCATATCAAGACTTACTTGTCCTGTATCCTGTTTCTTCAGAACTCAGCTTTCTACTAAGTAGAATCAAATTCTATTTAAACCCCTGTTAACTTATTAATGGATATCCATGGGTTAAAGAAGACCACCCTCCCACACACACACCAATTGCTTATCTTGGGCAGTTCACCCAAGATAGTTTACTGGCAGTCACAGATTCACCATATGTCCACAATGAAAGATGCCCTAGACATCATCTAATCTGATAGCTTTCAAACTGTTTTTTTCCAACTGAAAGATAATTCAGAATCCTGTCTATAAAACATAAATGGGTCTGCTCTGATTGAGGGGAGAGGGATAGCACCTCCTCGCTTGGCTTTCCCCAGCTCAAAGGTCCTAGACTGCACACACGAAACTCCACTGATTCTAAGCCAACCCTCTGGGCTTGCGGAAGAGAAACTGAGGCTCAAAGAGAGGAAGGGACCTAGGATCTCACAGATAGTCAGTTACCAGACCATGGGGTGGATTCCAGGTCACCTGTGGGCTGGTCCAGACCCTCCACTCTGACAAATCCTCCTGGAAGAAGTGGCCAGAGAAGAAAGGGGATATTTCTGATGATTCATGGAATTTGATCATCTAAGAACAAAGCATTTTTTTTCTTCTAAGGCCCTGGCTGATGAGACAGAGATAATGAGAGACAAAAACTTTTACCTCTAAGCTACCAGTTTGAATGTAGTACAGGCTGTTAGTTACTCAAGATCGTTAGTGTGTGATGGGTTATCAAAGGCCCATGTGAAACGTGTGGGATTTTTATGAGCATGCTTTTATTATAACAGACTGTTTAAAGGCCCTTATGTACAAAGTACTTTGAAAACTCTAATGGGGTCCTGTCATCACCTGCATAATTATGAAGGTCAAATTGTGCTGCACAAACCTGAGCACTATCTTTGACCAAATTAGTGTATGAACAGAACAGAATATTTTTTAAATTTCTCTTTTTCTTGTTGTTGCTCCTTTCAGCCCCTGGGTACAACAAAATTTCTCTTGGAGCTGCAGAGAACTGCCACTCTGATACATTTTTCCACTTTGTGTAAATCTGAGGTTTTCTTTTCCCCTGGTTTAAGAGAGAGGATGGATAACCGCATGCAGGTTTCAGAGTACAGAGTTGGCTGCTGAATACTCAGGCCTATCTGCTGGGGAAACTTGCTTCGGCTTGTTTTTGTCCCTGTCCCTCATTGCCCCATTGTCAACAGATGCCCGTCCAGAGAGGCCTGGCCTCACCGGATGTCCTTCTGTAGCGTGCCTGCTGCTTTCACTTGCCCTCCTCAATTTTCCATCTTACGCTAGGAAACAGCAAAGTTAGAAAAACAATGGACTGTTTCCTTCCTCTTTCTTTAAACCAAGAGGCTGAAAGGAAGGCTTCGTATTCATTACTCACAGGCCAGACTTGGGGATAAAGGTCATTAAAGTTCAAATGTAACAAAAGTTAAAGTCCACAGGTCTCAATGAGTTCCCAGCCCAGCTGGAGTTGAGATGCACTTACCCTCATTTTAACACCAGGCTTGCCTCAAGCTTTGTAAGTATTTTGGGTTGGCATTTGGAATCTGAGCTTGCCAAAAAACACACACACAAAAAAAAAACCCAAAAAAACAAAACCCTTAAGATTATGGGCATGAGGAAGGGGAAGAATTGACACATAGAAGGCTCAATTTGGGGGCAGTTTTCTTTTTTTGCTAGAGCTGTGGCCGCCAGGCTACCTAGAACTGTCATTATTATTGGCGGTGACAGGTGCATTTCCTAGAGCCCCAGGGCACCCCTGCTTAGTAGCTATGATGGTTTTTCCTGCCATTTCTTATTTCCTCTCTGTAAAATCCTTGTGTGGACTGTTTTCTCCTGGCTAGACAATGTGTGGACAGGAAAACCTCGTCTGGCGAGTGTTGGAGATGCCCCGGTACAGCCATGCTGCCTGTTGTGGTGAAGGGGAGATGGAAACCACCTCTCCACACCAGGGTTCCACTCTGTGCTATTCATGCAAAAAAGCAACCTTCACGATTTTTTTACCAGCTGGATCTCCCTGTTGTATTTGAAATCAGAGCTAGAAGTCACAAAGCAGCGACCCTGGGACTGTGGGGGCAACGAACCAGGGTGCGACGAGAAATGGCGTCAGCAGCACAGAGAGATCCAGCAAATCCTGCACAGGCAACAGGTTGGGCCATATTCGGGGCCACATTCAGACCTTCGGGGCTCCTAGGAATTTTCGCCATTGTGGGCCTTTCTTCCATACAAATAAATAAATGAGTAAGTTATATGGCTTTGTTGCTATACAGACAAATGTGTTAGAGTTATAGATTCACAATATTTCCTTTGACCTGAAAGTTCATTTTTTTTCTTCCTCTTTTAAAAGAAATCAAAACATTTTCGTGGGTACCTTAAAATGTTTTGTGGGGTGTAAACACTGTGCCTGCTGTACCTAATGGATAAGTTGACACAGCTAACAGGAAGCAAACTCGTCCTTGGTACAATTTGAAAGAAATTGAATATTTATGAATTAGGGCAGTTTCACTACTTTGAATGACAATACATACTACAAATGAGTTTGGTTCATAAATGAGAGAGATTAATGAAAGGTGTATGCAAATCCACAAATCAGATCTCACAATTAGCAATAGGTTTGTATACAAGAATTTTGACATTCTAAAATAAATTGTAAAACTTGGGTTTGGTAGGGCAAAAAAGCCAGATGTGTCATAGATATGGAGGTGGTATGGCCTTTGGTCAGGATCCTGGCTCCACCATCTACACGCTTGGGCAAACTACTTTATTCCTTGGGTAAGTTATTTTTGTGCTTTTGGCTTCTTTCTCCCTAAGTGAGAGGCATCATCAGGTTGCCAGGAGGATGAAATGAAGTCATGTTTGCAAAGCATGTCATATAATGCCTATGATATTGTACACTTTCACTGTTAGTTATTATAATTACTATTATTGTCATCACAATGAACCGTTGTTATCCTGTTCAACAGATGGAGAAACTCAGGCTTCTCCATTATTTTTCTGGGCATTTTTGTTTTGTTTTGTTTTGTTTTGCTAAGTTCAGACAGGTGTTGAGTAGTTAAAAAGAGGGATATACCAGAGATGAGAATTAATCAACCAGTAGCATGAGAAGAAAGGAGTGTGGGAAGAGACATGAAAGATTCAAGGAAGGTTAAAATACAGATCCTGGCCTCAAAAAGAGTACTGGAGACAAGACCCGTCTGGGAAGGGTCAGAGACAGGACAAAGGGTGGCAGGCAATCTCGGGGAGTAGCTGACAAGGGAAGGACCACTGGGGTGACAAGGGAAGGCATCCCAGACAACTGGATCCTGCTTAGTAAGTGACAATTCCTCCTGGACATTTCCAGAGGGAGAAACTGTGTCAGACTTTTTACTCAACAGTACCTACCACAACCTATTTAGAACTGCCAAATCTTAGTTTGGAAACAAATGTCACATTTCAACTAAATGGGGACCAAAGGTGGTTTGGAAACTGGCCGCCTCCAACTGGATAGGTATAAGACTCTTGCGCATTCAACTGGAAATAGGACAGAGAAAGCAGCAGAAACAAAAATACAAAGGTGTTCGGCCATTCTAACAGTACTAGCTATGATAATGGTATTCATATTACTTCATATAGTGCTGTTCAATTGTAAAAAATTTACATTTTTGTTTTTCACCATTGAAAATATATGTATACCAGGATTGCAACTACTATTTTCATGTAAGGAAGAGGAAACTGAACTTGATCGATTTGTCTAAATCATCTAAGTTTTGGGCCTTCAGGCGTGGAACTTAGATCTATTGATTTTGTCTTTGTTGAGTTATCACAAAATCTTCATGTTATCATAACAATAGTGATGTATGGAGCCCCTGCTATTTATTTGACACTGCCAAGCACTTTATATATATTGTTTCTCAGTCTCAGTGAGGTTTCTCAGTCCATTTATAGGCCCATTTATATAAGAAATTCAGACTCTACTGAGGTCAAGTAACTTACTCCAGGTACTGTTTCTAATAAATTGAGATCTTACTCAAGGTCTATCTGACTTTATGGGTCGAGCTCTTTTCTCTATGTCTCATCCTTGTTAGTTATTGGGGTTTGAGTGGATATAATTTTACTTTAAACTTTAATGAATACTAACCCATTTTATAAACAAATAAAGATTATTCTAACATAGTACTCAATTACTCCAGAAAGATTCCTTTGAAGATAACCCTTACTTAGCATTTTTTTTTATATACAAATGAGCTGAAGTATAGATTTTTTAGAATTAGGCTGAAGCATAGGAAAAACAAAAGTCAATCCTGCCCTTATACTTGACCACCGTAAGGTTATGTATGTGTTCTGGAGGACTTAGATCTTGAAGGTCTGGGCCAGACAGAATCAACCTTTGTTTTCACCTTGAGATGAGATGAGCCTTTAGGTTAGCCCAATTGAGGAGCTATTGCTTGCTGCTCTTAACTTGCCTGAGTGGAATGTTTTTGCAGTTCTCCATGGGATCACCTAAAACACCAAACAATGATGTATATCCATCTAACCAGGAGCTTTCAATGTGGATTGTGTTGAATATGAATGACACTTCCTGTTCTTCAGAGTAAGATCAGATTGTAAATGGTGGGAGACAAGTTGTGAGTTGATCTTTTATGCAGAACATAGTTCACAAGTCTGGACCTCAACCTTGTCCTCATTTTAAAGGCTTCATTATGCATAATGACTTCCCTGTATGTTGAAATAGAGCCCTTAGTTCCTGCCTCAGTGATTTTTCTCATTGCCTTCATGAGCCTAAGTGTCTTTGAAGATCAAGAGTTTGATAAATAGACAAGAAATAATAATTTTGAAAAGTCGAATTTTTAATGACTATTTCAAGTCAAGTTCAAAGTTTTAAAAGGATGCTACACTAACTGTGTAAGTATATGGAAGTACTGTGTTAAGACTGTAGCTGGTCATTTATTAGTGTTTTGTATTAGCTAATTGGAAAACACCTAAATTATAACTAGTCACCCCCGCAGTTCAGGGTTGATTAAACAGCCCATGACACTTTTTCCCTCATAGACTGCCTTAGGAGTAATTATAATGACTTGCCCATCATCTTGAGTTAATTATTCCTCATTTTTTCTAGTGCTCCTCTCTGCAAATGTCCTAAAAATATCCTCCATCTTGCACCATTTTTCTCTTATGTTTCATAATGGACACATATAACCAGGCACGATTAAGCAATTGTTTGGTTTGGTTTGGTTCTTTCAAAGGAATAGATAAATCATCATGGTACATGATGAGAGAGGAAATGACAGTTTTTATCTTTTATTCAGGTAGCCTGAATTTACATGAGACCACAAAAAGTTCCTGACAGGATGTTATTGATTACGTTTACCCAGTGTGCGCTGGGTCTTCCTGCCACATCACAAGGCACTCTTTCCCTTTCATTCCTGCCTGCAAACCGAATCCCAGATCTTCTCATTCTCTCATGAAAATGTGAATTTTTAGATTAGAGATTTCAGGCCCCTTTGGCAGATTTCCCATTAGTTATTCTTCTAATTCAGCTCCCTTCTCTCTGTACCAGTCGGTAACAATATCCTCTCTTGTTGGGTGCCTTGAATGACAGCTCCACAGAACTAAGTGAAGATCACATATTCACTCTATTAACTATGTCTGTTGAGTACGAGATCTTTTTGTAAATGATTTATGACTATTAGCTCATTCAATCCTCACAACAACTTTATGAGGAGGGAACTATTTTTATCCTCATTTTATAGATGACAAACCTGAGACCCTCTGACTTGTGATTTACCTAACACAAAGGCCTTCCTTCCTCCCTTCCTTCCTCCTTTCCTTCCTTCTTCCTTCCAGCCAGCTTACTTTCTTTTTTCCTTCCTTCCTTCCTTCCTTCCTTCCTTCCTTCCTTCCTTCCTTCCTTCCTTCCTTCTTCCTTCCAGCCAGCTTACTTTCTTTTTTCCTTCCTTCCTTCCTTCCTTCCTTCCTTCCTTCCTTCCTTCCTTCCTTCCTTCCTTCCTTCCATCCAAGCCAAAAATGTTAATTGAGTACTTAGTGTGCTGAGCAGTACTGTGGGCACTAGAGATGGCAGTGAACAAAGCAGACAAAGTCCCTGTCCTCAAGGAGCTTAACCACTATCCTATACTGCCCCAAGTTACACGTCTCTCCTAAGGAGTTTCCCAGATTAAATTCAGCCAGTTTCTTACCTATCTGGATAATCTCAGCTCTCTTTCCATTTTAATGCACTTTGAGTAATTCAAGATTTCAGTTTCATGTTTTAGCTGATGTGCCTACTTTGAAAGCTTTAGGTGCTAATAGGCTATGTCTATCTCTATTATGTCGTATCTTAGGCAGCTTGGTGCATCTTGCCTTCTGTGGATGATCACGAAATGCAATGTAACTGCTATTTGATAGACTGTCTATGTTGCAGTGACACAGAGATGCTTGAGGACATGATTGGATCCACCTCAAAAGATAATTTTTTAAATTTTTCCTGATGAAAACATTAAAATACATACAGTTTATTTTTCAACAAAAATAGTCCTGGAGCCAATGTGGGATTTCCTGAATGAAGTCTGCAATTTGGGAGTGGAGCATTTTAACCCCAAAGCCATGGATCATGCCAGCTTTGGACATCTGCCTGAGCTTTATTAAAACATTCACCCCTAGGGGAAGTTTCTAGATGTTTTAACTATAATCAATTAACTCATGCTTTTTCCTCTTCAACTTTCCTGCTGTTACACTTCTCCTCATGCCAGGTGGTACAGGGACAGACAGGGGTTTGTTTGATTGTTTTTTTAACCTGACCTAGAGAAAGTGCAATATGGGATACCCTTAGTATGGATTAAATGGGATATATTTATATGGTTTCAATCACTTCCATGTTATCAACAGCTATCCTTGTATAGACATGTCTTCCAGTAAAATTTCTATTGCCCGTTGTGCCAACTCACCTGGCATTGTGACACAAAGAATCAGGGCAGAGGTACTGTCTTAATATTGATGTGTCTGATGTCCCCAACACTGGAAGTATGTGGATTGAAGGAAGGACGTAAAGATTGAAATACACAGAGTTGAAGCTAGTCTGTGTATAATTTTTCCAAATCTTACAGCCCATATATGACAGAAACTTGGTAGCGATTTTCTCAAAGTTGACAATAATACTAAAAATGCACCATCAATAACAAAAACCAATTTTGATCAAATATGTTAGAAGAAAGACATTTATCTTTCTGCTTGATCTATTAAAAATTATAATTGTCATAGACAGGGGTGATAAAGGAGTATATACCCCTTTCTATGTAAGAAGTAAGAATATTATATAGGTATGTCAGGCTGTTAATTAATGAGAAATGTTAAATTATCTTTTTGTATTTTGTTACATTTATGGTATTTGCCTGCTTTTAAAATTTGCAATTTGTTGTGATTTATTTTCTAATTCTCAGTAAGTGTTTACTTTTGTATCCAATTTCATTTGTAATTTTGTGTTCTTCAAAAAGACCCCCAATTACATAAGTTTCTCTTCTTTCAAAGCCTGAATCCACCTTAGGTAAGAACAATTCGTTGTAATATAAAGCAAAGTGTGTGTGTGTGTGTGTGTGCTTGTGTGTATGTGTGTGCGTGCGCGTGCGCGCCCAAGCGTGTGGGAAACTCATCAGTCTGGACCTTTTCTGAACCGGTTAGTCATTAAGATTTTTCACTGTCAAATATAAGAGAACAATAAAAACTGAAGACAGTTTCCTCCATCTTCTCTTTATCACTTAAAATATGTGGCATCACTGTATCCTACACGCTAAAACGTGGAATTTTCCTCGCTCGTTGTATTAGTTAGGATAAATGGCTAGCGCTATAGCAAAGAGCCCCAGCATGTCGGGGGGTTTCACATTCAAGGTTTACTCTTTGCTCCTGTCACAGGCCTCTGCTGTTCCACACAGTCATTCAGGGACCCTTGTACCTTCCATCTAGTGTGCTTCGCTGGCTCCTCTGTATCCAGGATGCCGATGGGGTCAGAAAGACAACTTGGCATATTGGGATCACGGGATGATCATGGAGGCTGGGCCTTTATATACATCATTTTTGCCCGCAATCCATTGGCCCTAACTCAGTCATGTTGTCTCACCTAAGGAGGCTGAGAAGTTTCTTTTATTTTTTTTTTTTTTCAAAATCCACAAGATTCTGAATGAGAAGTTTCTAGTATGTCTCTTCTTCTAGAAAGAAGAGGTGAAACATGCATACAGGTGAGTAGTGGCAGTCTCTGCCATAGCCGTCAATAGATTTGTTTAAAAAAAAAAAAAGGGCAATATTTTGGTAGATAGGAAAGGTCTCACAGGGGAATTGTCACAGATTCCAAATCGATGGGCATTTAGTTGGGGAAGCTATTGTGCTTTGGCGAAAAGAGTGTGGGATCAGGAATCAGAATCCTTGCATTTGTATTTGTCCTAGCTCATCACTTATTAGCAGCGTAACCTTGCATGAGACACAGTCTTTCTGAGCATCAGTTTCATTAACTGTCAAATAGATATGATAATAATATCTGCTTCACTTACTGCACAGGTTGTTTTCAGAGTCAGGTGAGATCAAAGGAAGAGTTTACTGTACTTTGTGAAATGATGGACAAATATAAGAAATATAAATGCCTGCCCTTCCTCCTCCTTCTCATTTTGGCCTAGTTTCCACTCTTACTACCAGGATAATATGTTGCCTATATCTGGCTATAAGACTGATGGAGATGCTAATGCCTCTGTCACAAGGAGACTGAATATCATTTTCAGTCCCTCATCGGAGACTGCATATTCTCTCTCTCTCTCTCTCTCTCTCTCTCTGTATATATATATATATATATATATACAGAGAGAGAGAGTGTCCCTTAACCAAAAATCTGAAATCCAAAATACTTTAAAATCGAAAACTCCTTGAGTGCTGACATGATGCTCAAAGGAAACGCTCATTAGAGCATTTTGGATTTTAGATTTTTGAATTAGGGATTCTCAACTAAAAACATCTGAAATCTGAAAGACCTCTGGTTCTAAGCATTTTGGATAAGGGATACTCAACCTGATACACATGCTAGTCCCTGGATTCGGGGGAAGAAAAACCAAAATAGAAGAGTATTTCTTTTAAACCAGTGTTTAAAAAAAAGAAAGC